TTTTTGAAAAAACACAAAATTCGCGATACTTTTTGAACACACCTCGTATATACAATTATTTGTATAGTATTTGTGCCCCTAAGACAACAATGAGCTGCGCGAAAAATTGTAATATTATTTGTTTGAATTAATCTTTGATTGGAAAATTAGATAAAGACCATCTGCGCACTCATAATGAGTAAAACCACTTCAAACGTTGTAAAAATTAAAAGTGCGAAAATATTCGCGATTTAATTCTATTTTTTTTGCCGAAAAGAATATTTTAAGTTACTCTAAACAACACAAATAGTGCTCATATGCTAAAAGTTATGAAGTYCTGAGTACTCATGCCAAACTTTACGCTAGTGTTGCCAAATCCCGAAATATAAAAAGCAATCTACGTAGTAAAAAATTGTRCATTTGTTCAACCAAAYTGGTAGTACATAGTTTTGATACAARTCTGCGGTAGTATGCCATSTTTGTTTGGTTGGTTCAAAATAAAGGCGCGCAAGAGCTAGACCTCAGGCGGCCTTATTTTGGCCATCATTAGGCCCATTGTTCAACCGGGTGATAACCAAATTAAGTCTTATCAAGTAACTGAGGGGACTTGGTAAAAAACCGGATTTTTCTCCACCCATGGCAGTTTGAGCATTGTGAGTAGTGGATTATCTCGTCTCATCTATAACTGATTAGTCTTATGAATTAATTTATTAAAAATTAATAGGTATTATAAAAAAATATGCTTATTTTAGACAGAATTTTGTCATTTCAACCAYTCACAATGATAAAATTAGYCTAATTTCTTTAAACCAAAACTTGATGCTATTGAAGACAGCGGTTGTACCGTTTGAATGACATAACAACATACTCTCTGGTGGTTAACTATGTGGAAAAGCCATATTCCATATAGATTTTTTGACAGCGGTTCATGTGAAGATAGCGAACTGTGAAGTGACGAATCAAAGTCAGCTAAGGTAGATATAATTAAATACTTTAGCTCTAAAAACGCGGCTCTGTTCGCGAAGAAGTGTGGAGTGGCATCATATATTTATTGCGTTGGTGTTAAATTTTTCAGTATGAAAATTTTATATGTACCATTTATTCTTGCAAAAAATCCTTATAATTGAAATATGCTAGATTTGTATACCCTAAAAAGGATATACCAGGTTGTTCAATAAGTTTGGTCATTTGATATGAAAAGTACAGTTTTATGCTTCAAATTCCTCTTATTATTCAGTATAATCTCCCTGAACATTAATGGTCTTGCTTCAAAGATCCTCGAACCTGTGGATCCCATCCCTGAAGCGAGAATCATTTGAAGAAAATCGCTTGCCACGCATAAGTTTTTTGAGTTCTGGAAACAAATGGAAATCGCTGGGGGTCAAATCTGGTGAATACAGTGGATGCTTCAACAATTCAAACTTTAATTCATGGAATTTAACCATTGTGAAAATGCTTTTGTGCCACTGTGCACTGTCCTGATGAAAAAGGATTTTTTCTTCTTTCAATCGGGTCTATTTTTCACGAATTTTTTCCTTCAACTGGTCCAAAAGGTAGCAATAATATTCAGATTTAATTGTTTTACCAGTTTGCAATTAATCCACAAAAAAATTCGTCACCCAATCCAAAAAACGGATGCCAAGACCTTCTTGGCCGATTTGTGGACACGAACTTGTTTTGAAGCAAAACAGACAATTTTACACCACT